TGCTGAACCAATCTTTTAATGCATAAACTTGTATTTTCTGTTTATTGATTGAGTTTATTTTGTTTAATTGGGGTATCTTCTTAACCTTTTTGAAGAACTATTGTTAGTTTTATGTAACTTTTGTGTTTTGAAATTGTCAGATATAAAACAAGTAATGTACTGTTACCCAAAAGATTAAACTTTAGTGATAGTTGGTTTATGGCATAGTATTAGAGCCTCTATGACCGTTTGGTCTACAGTTCAATACTTGTCCCCACCTTCCTAGTGAACAAAATGTTAAATTTCTGCACAAGGTTGGACTTGTGTTTTGTGCATTTTTCATGTGTCAAGCTGTAACAAGTCCCACATCGGGGAGGTCTCCTTACCAGGGAGGCCTTATAAGGCGGGAGGTTCTCCAACCTCTTGGGCCGGCTTTTGAGGGATGGTTCCCCTCCTTAGCCTTATGCTCGTTACAATGGTGCTTTCATTGAGAGCCAGCCAAATCGAGAAGGGCTACCCACGGAGGGTTCTGACCATCGGAGGGTTCTGACCGGCAAGGGCCGAGTGAAGTGCCGATGAGTGAAGTACCGTGGAGTGCAGCCATCGAGGACGCTGGCTTTCGAAGGGGGTGGTAATGTAACAAGTCCCACATCGGGGAGGTCTCCTTACCAGGGAGGCCTTATAAGGCGGGAGGTTCTCCAACCTCTTGGGCCGGCTTTTGAGGGATGGTTCCCCTCCTTAGCCTTATGCTCGTTACACAAGCTCAAAGGCTCTTGCATGAGAGGGAGAGCTAAATATCAAATCATTCGCATGCATTCACCTAACAGCTTAAGCTTTTGGGATAGGTGGTTCATGATAAAAATCTTTATGGACCTTATCGTGGTCGGTATAAAATAAATTGATCTCAATGGCAATGGATTTTTGTGCTTTTCAAAGTAAAGCTCTGATCTTTTCCCATCTGCCCCAAAACAAGAGGACTTTTAATTTTCTTTAGTACATAATAGAATTTTTTCTTCATTGCATGGCCTCTCTAAGAGAAGTTTCATTAATAGTCGAATATCAATTTATCTTAACTATTAATTCATTGTTTTCATTAATGGACTTTAATAAATTAACCATCCAATCATTTCCTTTTCAGGATCAGATTGTTAAATTAAATAAAGAAAATGGTTCACTAAAGCAGAATTTGGAGGCTACAAATGCTGCTCTGCATGTTTCAAGACTTGAAGGTTCTGGAGCATCTACAAATGGGACTTACACAGTTAAGTTATTTCCATATTCTAATTGAAACTATTATGGCAAGTTTAATGTATGTCAACCTGTGCTGAAGGTCCTTCATTGTATTTGCTTTCTGGTATTTTATCATGTCCATGTAAAATTTAATTAGCAATGAGGATGTTTGACTGGTAGTGCTATTTGCATTCTGATGTTGCAATTTTGATTCAAGTTTGGTTTTTGGGCCTTGACAAATGGACAATAGTATAATATTCAATATGATCAAAGAAAAGGATTAATAGAATGCAGCAATCCATATTAAAATGCTTTTATGTTGCTATAACATTTTGGTTCTGTTTGTTTTCCAAAGTTCCTACACACTAGCATTCATTTCTTATCTGAGATAATTGGCTGCTTTAAGATAAGCTCTATTGCTTATTTAATGGGAACTGAGCTTACCTAAATGCCCTCCAAAATTTTTCTTTTAAATGTTTGTTTCAAAGGGGGAAGGTGGGAAAATGACTGTGTTGTCCTTACGATCTTTTGTGGTGCCTCAGTGTAAAGCTTGAGTCTCCATCTAGAGATGTAAATCTGAGATAGGATTTTCTTTGTGGCTTTATGCTTTCAGAGCCAACAGTTTCTAAGGAATTTATTTTATTTTATTTCAAAATGAAAATCAGGGTATTAGAAAGCTCTTCTCAACTGATGGTTTTTCTCTTTTATTTTAAGCTATTTTATATGACTTATTTGTCCACTTTAATGTTCAGATGAATGCAAGTAATGACTAGTGAGTATTTGAAAAAAAGAATATAAAACCTGGTCATGCATTTATTCTTCATGTAGAGGAATACTGATTTCCTTAATTATCATAATTATCTTGTTTTAGGTTATCTAGTGTGGGGAACTTGTGGATCTATCTAGTGATCTGGAGTGTGTCATTAAGCTTGTGATATGTGTCTTGTTCCTTCCCAAGTATGGGAAGACTATTTATTATGTTATAATGTGGCTAATAGTATTTGGCTATATGCCTTTGATCTTGATAGATATCTAAGAATTCATGGTGATTACTTCTAAATATTTGTGCAGGGAAGTAGGGATCGATCACCCAATGGACAACATAAGTTCAACATGCAACGGAAAAATCGGTATGCTATAAATAATGGAGCCATGTCTGCATTGGAAACTGATGCTATTCAAAGTGAGATGGAATTCAAACATTCAAATTTACAAGGAAATCATAAGGTAATGACACCTTTAATTTCTGATTGTTCTTAACTAGTCCATCAGCATAAGAAGTTTGATTACTAGGTGTTGTTTGTTTATGATATTCTTTGTCTATATTGGAATTTGATATATTAGTTTATTGAGTGATTATATGTCTGTTTTGATTTTCAAGGTGTCTTCAGCATGAAGTGCTCCTTCCTTCCCCCCACCCCCCAAATGGACATAACTTAAAATTTGTTTTCTGTCTTTATAAATCAAAACTATTATTTTCATGGGCATTTTGATATATCAAATTTTGAATTGCCTTATGTTTTTATTTTTAGTGATGAGTGAACATGACAACTGATGTATGAATGCCTTCTAGGAGCTTGCAGATTTGGTTGATGGAAATACCACAGTAGCTGTACAACATTCCCCAGATATACAAAAACTGAAGTTAGAACTAGAGCAAGAACGGGATCAATTGGTGAACATTCAGCTAAAATTCCAAGGTATTTTTATTTTGCTTTAGGGATGTCTATATTGTATCTTAACATGTAAATAGAAGTTTCAAAACATTCTCACTCTTTCTTTAATGTCAGAGGAACAGAGATTGAACAAGTCTTTCCAGGAGGAGCTTAACATATTAAAGTTGGAACAAGACAAGGTGAGTTATATTGTGGTAGATATATATTTTCATGATCATGGCTGCAATATATTTCCCTGATCACACTTAAGAAAGCATCATCTATATCAGGAGTTTTTTGGGATAACAAACTGATTATGTTTAATATTATTTGAAGGAGTGTAATTTTGAACTTAAGAGAGTTATGGGAATGAAGCAGTAGATGTATATATGGAATGAATGTTACATTCATTGTTATGTATTCTGTGACATATTTTGGGTTTGATACTTCTATCATTGTCTTACTGCTATCAATATTGTCCTTACAGTGATGATGTCAGAGACCAAGAAATAAAATTGGAAGATACTGTATTATGTGCTATTTACCGAAAAGGAAACTAGCCCTAGACTGGAAATGGAATTTAAAACGGAACTAAAAACAACCAAAATATGGGTTTCAGAGGGGAATTGCGCCGGGCTTAGGAGTTCATACGCCTGGCGCAGAGAGTGCAGAAAACTCTCTGGAAGCGCGTGCGCTGGGCGCAAAAAATAAATTAAGCCGGGCGCGAGTACGCGTTTTCAGAAAAAAAATGCCCAGAACGGGCTGTTCCAAGATCAGAACGGCCGTTCTTAAATTCGAAACGGGCCGTTCTGGAATTGGAACAGTCGGTTCCAAATACCGAAACGGGCCGTTCTGGACATGGAACAGGGCGTTCCAAAGTCCAAAACGGGCCGTTCTGGAATTTGAACGGGCCGTTTCGCAGCTTCAGCCGAGGGTACCGCGCCGGGCTTGATTGCACCCAAAACAACACCCCAAAATCCCAAAAAGAAGAAGGAAAACTGCAAAACCAGACAAGAAAATGTTGAGTGTGAACCTACTGGAGGTGGAGTGCGTGGAGGGAGAAGGAAAGCCGCGTGCACTTGAGAAGAAAAGAAGCTGCGTGCCCTTGAGGTGGAGTACGGAGAAAAGGGTTGTGAGACTGAGTTGAGAGAGGGAAATGTGATTTGAGAGTTGAGAATGTGAAGTGGGAGGTTGAGAGAGGGAGGCTGGAGAGGGAAGATGAGTTGAGGGAGTTGAGAGGATTTGTTAGGAAGGGAGTTGTTGTGAGAAACGGAAGTGAAACGTGGGTGGCATCTGCGCGGTCGCGCCGGGCGTGAAATTACCCACGCCGGGCGCCATATCAGTAAAAACCCAAAGTTTGCCCTTTCTGGTATGATGCCGGGCGGTGCCGTTCTGCGCCCGGCGCAATTAGGGTTACAACGTGCCAGAATTTAATGCGCTACGCGCGCCGGGCTTGGCTAACCCCTGGAGCACCTAACTATTAATGCGCCCGGCACGCCAATAAATGCGCCGGGCGTGGTCGTTCCAGTGCTACAATGAAGTCTAGGCCGGGCGCAAAATAAATTGAGCCCGGCGTGTGTCTTGACAGAGACCACATTACTGTAGGTGCGCTGGGCGTGGATAAGACAGGCCCGGCGTGATTAACTCTGAAGCTTTCACCTAGATTTTTCACTCCTCACACTCCTCACAAATTCAACTTAAATCTATCCACTCAAGCATGATTCACACACTTAACACATAATATCAAACACAAACAACATAATACAACATACATAGCATAGAACATAAACATCCACACAACAAGTCCTAGAACCAGTATAACATACAATTATAACGCAACAATAAACAA